TTCGGGTTGTGACCAATTCGGGTCACGACCAGAGTCACGGAACGAATTAAGTTCGTAACCCGAGGTACCACTGTACTTGTTGTGATGAAGGGGGAAGTAATTTCTTTATATATTTCTTTTCTTTTTTACTGTGTTCTTTTTTCTTTTCTATTTTTCTTTCTATTTTTTCTTTTTACTCTTATTTTTTAGTTTGTATTTTTATCTTTGTAATTGTAATTTTTAATAAAATGACTATTTTAAAAAATGGAATGCACTTCCCATCTCTCTTCCTGTATCTTCATATGAACTAGGGAGGCGCTTGTCTGAGATGTTTCTCAAGCTATTTTCTTAGCCCGAGCTCAAGCCCTGCTTATCTGACCATTGCCTTGGTAGCACCTCTTCCTTCTCTCCTTCAAGACCATTCCCTATTCCTTCTACAAGAAGTAAGCATGCTTCACTTCCCTTATTACCATGGTGTAGACCCAAATATGAATACATATCCATGCTTGATTGGATTCACTTCTAGACTTCTTCCACTGGTGCTCCAGGTATTGTTTCAGGGGCTTCATCTCCTGAAGGGCTTCAGTAAACCGAAGTGCCACCCATGATCAGTCCCGCAAAAGGGGCTACTCAGGGGCAATAATGTCCAGTGCCTGGCTTGCCTCCTGGCACCAGCTACTTGCCAGGCACTAAACAGAACCATCTGTAAGAGAGCTGGGAAATTCTCCAAGTGTCCTTTGAAAACCTTTTGGATCCATTAGGTGCCTGGGGCAGACCATCCAAATTGGTCCTACCATCCTGCAGATGGCCCAGAAGGCTACCAATTGCAACTGAAACAGGGCATAATCCGACCATGGCAATGGGCTGATAGAAATTCTAGATCCTCCAACAACTGCTTGGAAACAAAACAAGAATGTGACTGCCAATATGTGTTGAAGCCAAGATAACCTAAGACAAGCCCATGGTTGCCATGGAAGTCATAATTTTCCTGATTTTATCCAAGCCACCCCTCCAAAGTTGGCAGATTGAAGTCAGCAAATACCAAAACCACCATCAACCCCAAGAACCTTGGGGAGAGATCCTGCTGGCCAGCAGGGTGGCTGGTACACCAATAGGACCCCTAGCTTGTCTTACAGTCCAACATCATGAACAGGCATTCGCATTCCTCTATCTCCACAGCAGCGTTCCTGGTCACACCTAAGGTACTTCTCATAATCAGAGCCACCTCCCTTCCCTGGCCCTGGCATCGAGGCTGCTAAAGGACCTAATAGCTTGCTGGGCAAATTTCTGATATGGTGACATCCTCACCATCGCCAAGCCAGGTACCAGATCTATCGTCTCATCCTGCACTAAATCATGGACAAGGATGGCTTGTTGCAAACAGGTGTGGCATTAGCATCTTGAAGTCAAAGGTGCCAGCAGTCTAACCACTTGGTCTCCACTTAATGCTTTTATTTGTGATCCCCAGTTCTATAGGAACACCATGTAGTTACTGCTTTTCAAATTGATTGTATGGTTTTAATCCCAGTTGGCTATTGGGGAACTGTACAATGCTTGGACTTCATGGATTGGAGTAGCCTACTCGCCAACTTGCAGATTTTGACTCCCCTGCAGACACTATTGCATAATATTAGGCAACAGGTATTGAATATAGAAAACCAAATGGAGCAGGCTTTCTTGTCCAGAGATGCTTTAGTGAATCATCAATCTGCATACCTAAGAACAGCCCAATATTTATGTCAAAATACCAATTCCAACATTCGGAAGGACCTTATCCTTACACACACTTCCTGCAGCAGTTATGAAGGAGAAATGTAAGACTTAAATGGCCAGACTTCACCCTTGTGG